CTCCTCACCATATCTCCTCAAGTCTGAGCCTGGCCACTCAACAGAAGAAGTTCATTTAGCCAGGAAACAATTAAACACGGTTAAAAAAAGAACAATCATCTGCCCTACCACTTGTTTGCTGACGTTATTATCATCAGGACAAAAAGATCTAAAATTGTTCTTTTCCCATAAACTGTCAGATGTGGGATAATTTGCCTTTGCCATCATTTCCTAGAGGTTTGCAGGTGTTGATGGCCTTAAAGTGCTGTCAGCTCGAATTCGGCGGCCGGCGGTGGAATCCCTTCAGGTAGCGAGCATCAAAGGCAGCTCCGGCGGTAATCAGCAGTCGCACAAAAGACGCTCATCCACTTGTTTTCCTAAGAAGCATTAATCACAACCTTTAACGTCCAACGCTTCTCTTCTCACAAACAGATGTGTGCTGAATGTCTCTGGTCCTCTCGAAGTTTCATTCATGTCAATATGAGGATTAGCTTCAGAGACCATTCTGGATGCAACAAACCTACTGCACCAAAACGGACCCCCATAAATGATCCTATCTACACCAAACAAACAGCCTGAGGAACAACAACAAGTGGGATTCTGTCCTTTACTGCTACTGTTTCTGCAAGAAATACAACCAGGACGAACTAGTTTAGCTAAAAAAAGAGCAGAGAATTCAATCATTCTGCTTCAAAAGGTCGCACCTACGTCACGGTGAGCAGCAGCTGAAGCAACGTCCGTCAGTCAAACCTCCAGCAACCGTATAAATTCTTTGTTAGGTCTGAAAATATAATTTTGTCGAGTTTTAATCAAAAATTTGAATTTTACGTTGCTCTAAATGAAATGTGCATGCAAGATACCTTGTGTCAGTTGTTTGTGCAAAATATTTAGTATTTTTATTTATATATTTAGTCCACACTTAACGTTTAGATTTCAATTTATTTAGACCTATTAAACTTTTAGACTTAGATTCAACATTTAGATTTAACATTTAGACTTTTAGACCAAGAATTAAAATTTTGATTTAACTTGTAGACATTTAGATTTTAACGTCACATTTAGAATTATTAAACTTTTAGACTTAGATTCAATATTTAGATTTAACTTTTTTCTTTTAGACCGGAAAAGGGTGGCTTGCCAACTCTGGGTCGGGGGAGAGGTCCTACCTCAAGTGGAGGAGTTTAAGTATCTCGGGGTCTTGTTCACGAGTGAGGGTAGGAGGGATCGGGAGATCGACAGGCGGATTGGTTCGGCGTCTGCAGTGATGCGGGCGCTGAGCCGATCTGTCGTGGTGAAGAGGGAGCTGAGCCAGAAAGCCAGGCTCTCGATTTACCGGTCGATCTACGTCCCAATCCTCACCTATGGTCATGAGCTTTGGGTAATGACCGAAAGAACGAGATCGCGGATACAAGCGGCCGAAATGAGTTTCCTCCGTAGGGTGGCCGGGCTCAGCCTTAGAGATAGGGTGAGGAGCTCGGACATTCGGGAGGGACTCGGAGTAGAACCGCTGCTCCTCCGGATCGAAAGGAGTCAGTTGAGGTGGTTTGGGCATCTGGTCAGGACGCCTCCTGGACGCCTCCCTGGGGAGGTGTTTCGGGCATGTCCTGCCGGCAGGAGGCCCCCAGGTCGACCCAGGACACGTTGGAGAGGTTACATCTCCAATCTGGTCCGGGAACGCCTTGGGGTCCTGCCGGAGGAGCTGGTGGAGAAGGCCGGGGAGAGGACGGTCTGGAGCTCCCTAGTTGGGATGCTGCCCCTGCGATCCGGACCCGGATAAGCAGAGGAAGACGATGACGATGACTTTTAGACCAAGATTTAAAATTTAGATTTAACTTGTAGACTAAGATATAACATTTCAAATGTGATTTAACATTTGGATTCAGATTTTACTTTTAGATTTAGATTTAATATTTAGATGAGCTAAAATTCTGTGAATTTAAACACCTGATCATTTTTAGGCAATTTCCAATTTAAAAGTGATGAAGGTTGCCAAATAGTGTCAGGATCTGGGGTGAGTCAGCACCATTCTGTTCAGTATGCCTCAAGTCTCTGCAGGTGGGCGGTTCCGGAGAGCGGTCAGCTGCAGGCTGTTCCTAATCAAGCGGTCCAGCGTTTATAAGGAGATGAGAGATCACTTCACTTCGCAGGATGATTACTCACTTTGGGTAGCTCTCGCCAACTTGAGATAACGATAGCCATAGTCCTTGTTTTTGTGCCCACTTTAGTAATCGCTGTTGAATTTACTCCGCCTTGTCCTCGCCAGGAACTCTCGCCTCAGACCACCTCTGCTATAACCTGGACATCACCTTCGAGTCAGATCTCCCTCCACGCCTGGACCGACCCGCTCTCCCACTGCTCACCCCCATTGGATTTCGGATAACCACAGATGCTGCTCACCCCAGTCCTGCCTGCCCTCCCAAGCTCCAGGATTTCTGCCCACAGGAAGAACCACAGAGACTGAGTCCTAGTTCTGTTTCTCTGCCCAACCCCTCACCAGTGTTTACCTCTACAGACCCAGTCCCGGAGCTGTGCTCAGCGTCACCGTCACGTCTGGCGGTTCACCCTCAGTTGACCTTTCAATAAATATTTGTTTTCTCCTTACCTACGTCTCCTCGTTTGATTCTGCATGTCTTGGGTCAGGTAACTCTCCAGTCATGACAAATGGAGGAAGAACAAGCTAATTATCAAAAAATGGTCCACTATATAATTTGCTCAATTTGCATTTGGTGCCTTATATTCTACACAGAAAAGGGTTAGCCATTCCTGTTTGTCAACCATGTAGAGCAAATCTTTGTTATTTCTAAGCATAACAAATGATATTAGGAATCAGTTAACATAAATATTAACATTTGTTAAAGTGCCAAATGAATAAAAAATACAAATCTTTGCATTTTCTTTTGTGGCGGCATCATTAAGTGTTAAAATAAAACAGTTATTTGCGTTTTTCCATACTGTCTCAGGTAATTGAGCTGTATGTCACCACAACTGGCAAGAAGACATCCTCTCCAAATCTACATCTGAACCAGAGATTTGTGTCAAAAATGAGCCCCAAAGGTGAAGCTGTTGCATCTGTGAGGCGAGTTAGACACCTGCTGTTAGACAACATCCAAGTATCTGTGGCTGCACTCCAGAATCTTCCTGCCTCATCCCCATCCAGAAATCCCAACTAATCCATCCACTGTTCCAGACCCGATTATCCGGACTCGTGCATCCAAAGCTGCAGAAATGACAACAGTTTACACTCTGATGAATTTTTAACGATGCTCTCCTGTGTGGCATTCGCTACCCGACGCACGCGCCACATGCGGTCATGATGGCATGTCCTCACGGGTAGAATTCCACATCTGCAGCAGCATTGGCATTACAAAACAAGCGTTCACGTCGTGGGGCTGACTGGAATTATTAATGTGTGTTTACATCAACCTGCAGGCGCGGGGACTGTCATTTCACCTGACAACAACCCCGTCCTCCACGACAAGGTGATGTGAGCAAATGTTTGTTCCCCACTGACCTGAATCGTGCAGGTGTACTCCGAGTCGTCCAGTAGTCTCACGGTGCAGTTGTATTCCCTGTCCAGACTCCTGATGCTGCTGCTCATCAGTCGGCTCAGCATCTTCTCGATCGTCTGCAAACGGGACCAGAGAGGGGGGGCACGCGGCTCATAGATTCAGGCTGACCTTCTGTCACGTTAACGGCGTCCGCGCTCTTTGCTCCAGCACCTGGTCAGCGGCAGCGACTGCGCCGAGAGGCGGCGGTGGTGCATCGTTTAATCAGTGGTCCCGCGCTTCTCCTCTCAGTGACGCTGCTGCTGATGCTGATGCTGATGATGCTCTCGGGTCCGGTTCAACTGTCACCCCTCACCACTCCTTCTCACTACGTCCCCCAGCCTCTGCCATGCCCCCTTTGGGTGCTGCTAAAGCTGAATGATGATGAGTGTGAGCAGTGACGGAGATAAACGACAGGAGGCGGAATACCGACAGGCTGCTGCTGCACGTCGTGACGGAACAGTATAGTCACATTTGCAGTCAGGCATAAAAACGCAGCGGCAGGGTTCGTGTTCATTATCGAATGGATCATCATAAAGTTTTAAATCAAGCTCAAAGTCATAAAACGTACAGTTTTTTTATTGCATCTTGCTGAAATGAATCACATTTTTAAAGCAAATCTAATAGATTCGTGACAATTTAAAAAACTGTTTATTTTTTTCTGACTGAAACGCTTCCATAAACAAAAACAAAAGGCAGCAGCTCATGCCTGCAGTTTACTGTTTGTGTAATTTCTAATCTGTGTTTATTTCAGATTTACTAAACAAAATAATCTGATAAAATCAGTTTACTGCTTTGCTCACAGGCTCCTGAGATAAAATTGTATTTTATTAACACAAAATCTGTGGTCTTGGACAGCATCTCCCTCTAGTGGTGCCATGTGGTAAAATCCCCTAATGACAACGAAATTAGGATTTCCACCTTAAATAACATTTTTATTGTATTTTTTAAAATGATTGCACACAATAGTGACATGCATGTAACCAACCCGGTGTTGGACATGTTTTTGGTGAACCTGAAACTGGTTTAAATTCTGCAGAAAACCCAAAACAAAGGATGAAACCACTTGCGTGTTTTGACTTTTCCTCGCCTATTTTTGTATATATGTCGATGTTTTTGACATAAAATCTCAAAATAAGAGTTTTAAAAGTTTAACTGTAAAAGAACACCCATCTGCCGTGACATTGTTCCACAATGCCGTGACCCGGATTCGAACCGGGGTTGCTGCGGCCACAACGCAGAGTACTAACCACTATACGATCACGGCGAGCTACGATGAGCGGATGGGAACCTGCACACAATTTGTCTGGGTGTTAAGTGGGATGTGAAAACAGTTTTCACTGGCAGTCTTGTTTTTATTTGATAGGTGAGAAGTTTATATTTTTTATTCTAGTCACCACGATGAAGAATTAATGAAGCATTTAGAAATCCGCGTTTAAAAGTTAATAAAAAAAAAAACAGGATACAACTTCCGGGTTTTACTAGCTCCCCGCTGATTGGTTGGTTTGCTGCATACGTGTAGTGGTTCCTCCGTTTTGTAACAACAAACGTGCCTGTTACAAAACTTACCTTATTCAACAACGGAGCAAAGCGGAACCAGACGCGTCAAAAACCGGCTGAAGGTAACGATTAGTTTCTAAAAGTAGATTTCTTTCTTATTTTTCATAAACGTCGAGGCTCATTGACGCTTTTAGGTTGCTGGTTCCGTTTCTGCGGCCGTTAATATTCATTTGAGCCAAGGCTCTGGACTTTCTGCAGACATTTCTAGCTGGTTTTTGTTGTTATTCACAACTATGAATTAAGAACGAGTATGAAGGTCATTGTAATTGTATTTTGCAACTGTTTATTTATTGATCTTCGGTGTAAAAAAGGCTGCTTTTATCGTTTTGAAATAATTGAATTTTCACCTGTATATCCACATGTTATTTGTATGTTCCACAGAAATGGCTCACATCTGCATCCACTGGTTCCGGAAGGGACTCAGGCTACATGACAACCCGGCCCTGGTTGCTGCTCTGAGAGACAGTAAGGAGCTGTATCCTGTATTCATCCTGGACCCTTACCTGCACAACAGTCACGTGGGCATCAACCGCTGGAGGTTCCTCATTGGAGCACTCGAAGACCTGGACCGCAGCCTGAGGAGACTCAACTCCAGGTAGAGCCACACAGGAAGCCACATTCAGGAAATCAGCTGAATTTTAAAGTTTAACGATTGCATTTAAAAAAAAGGTGTCAAATCTCATGATGCGTTTGACTCCTTCAGGCTGTTTGTTCTGAAGGGGAAGCCAGAAGATGTGTTCCCAAAGTTGTTCACCAAGTGGAAGGTAACAAAGCTGACCTATGAGTACGACACGGAGCCGTACAGTCTGAGGCGGGACAAAGCTGTGGCAGCGCTGGCCAGAGAACACAGAGTCAGTGTCATCTACCAGATCTCCCACACTCTGTATGATATCGACCGGTAAGCCACCCAGAGCTTGTTTATATGCAGGTTTTCCTTACTTCCTGTTTTTAACTTGGCTGCTTCTCTTCTCCAGGATAATAGAAGAAAACGGCGGGAAGCCTCCTCTGACTTATAACCGTTTACGAGAACTGGCTCGAAAACTGGGTCCACCTAAAAAGCCGATCCCTGCTCCGACCCTTGAAGACATGAAAGGTTCATCACCAGTGGAGCCTTAAAGAGCAAGTCACCCCTTACAAGAAGCGTACTTCACTCCCACTTCATGTTTGAAAAATGCAACAAATGCTGTTGCCTAGCAGACCGAGAGGGTGGAGCCACTAACAAATACACACACTCACGACATTGTGACATCATAATGTACCAGTTTACATCATAGCATACCTCTTAGCCAATAGCGATGGCAGGTTTAAATTCAAATGCAGTGACAAGTTTTTACCTGACAACGGCACAACACTGACAATTTCAGGCAGAAAATTTAAAATTTAACTAAAATGCACTAAAGTGCAAACCTATTGACTACACGTGTCTGCAGCACGATTAGACACGCATTTATGTAGTTTATCAGGAAAAAAAGGTTGATTTGGGGGTGACTTGCTCTTTAACTCTGTTATTTAGTGGCTGTATCATAATTATCACATGTTCGATTAAACATGTTTCCTCTGGTGAAGATGTTACGACACCATGCTCGGAGAAAGACCAGAAGAAATACGGGATTCCTACGCTGGAGGAACTCAGTCTGGACACCACATCTCTCGGTGAGGAGCTCTTTCCAGGAGGAGAACAGGAGGCTTTAAGGAGACTAGATGAGCACATGAAAAGAACGGTACACAGCTCCCACACATCTGCCTTTTGTCATTTACTTGCAAGATTCCTAAAACTTCTGTGTTCCTTCATATTTCAGGGTTGGGTGTGCAGCTTTGAGAAGCCACTGACGTCTCCGAACTCTCTGAGTCCCAGCACCACCGTCCTCAGCCCATACGTCACCTTCGGCTGCCTGTCAGCCAGAACCTTCTGGTGGAGACTCGCAGACGTGTATCAAGGGGTGGGTGGTGCATCTTTGTGTCCGTCTAGAGCAGGGGTTGCAACCATCACAGTCCAAAGGGTTGTTTTCCCCTCAGTCCACCAGAAATAAAAAAATGTTTAGAGTCGCAACCTTTACATGGTGCTTTGAAAATAAACTATCATTTCTGAGAAATCGGTAAATCGAGAGCTTCGCCTTCTGACTCAGCTCTCTCTTCACCACGACAGACCGGTACAACGCCCGCATCACTGCAGATCAAATCAATCAATCAATCAAAGACACTTTATTAATTCCAGAGGGAAATTTGATGCAGCACTAATCCGCTTATCGATCTCACGCTCTAGTTTTCCCTCACTCGTGAACAAGACCCCGAGATATTTTAACTCCTCCACTTGGGGCCGGACCTCATCCCTGACCCGGAGAAGGCATTCTACCCTTTTCCAACTCAAGACCATGGTCTCAGATTTAGAGGAGCTGATTCTCATCCCAGCTGCTTCACACTCAGCAGCGAACCGCTCCAGCGAAAGCTGAAGATCACGTTCTGATGAAGCCAACAGGACCACATCATCTGCAAAAAGCAGAGACCTGATCCTCAGGCCACCAAAACGGATGCCCTCCACTCCTTAGCTGTGCCTAGAAATCCTGTCCATGAAAGTTATGAACAGAATCGGTGACAAAGGGAAGCCTTGGCGGAGTCCAACTCTCACTGGGAACGAGCCCGACTTACTGCCGGCAATGTGGACCACGCTCTGACACCGGTCATACAGGGACCTAACAGCCCGTATCAGAGGGTCTGGTACCCCATACTCCCGCAGTACCCCCCACAGGGCCTGCCAAGGGACGCGGTGAAACGCCTTCTCCAAATCCACAAAACAGATGTAGATCGGTTGGGCGAACTCCCACACACCCTCCAGGATCCCCCTAAGGGTATAGAGCTGGTCCAGTGTTCCACGGCCAGGACGAAAACCACATTGCTCCTCCTGAATCTGAGGTTCAACAATCCGACGGACCCTCCTCTCCAGAACCCCTGAATAGACCTTACCAGGAAGGCTCAGGAGTGTGATCCCCCTGTAGTTGGAACACACCCTGCAGTCCCCCTTTTTAAATAAGGGGACCACCACCCCGGTCTGCCAGTCCAGTGGGATGCCACCGATGTCCACGCAACATTGCAGAGCCGCGTCAGCCAACACAGCCCTACAACATCCAGAGCCTTAAGGAACTCCGGGCGGATCTCATCCACCCCTGGAGCCTTGCCACGGAGGAGCTTTTGAACCACCTCAGTGACCTCAGCACCAGAGATTTGAGAGGCCAACCCAAAGTCCCCAGACTCTGCTTCCTCATTGGAAGACATGTCGGTGGGATTGAGGAGGTCTTCGAAGTATTCTGCTCACCGATCCACAACGTCCTGAGTAGAGGTCAGCAGCACACCGTCCCCACTATAGATAGTGTTGGTAGCGCACTGCTCCCCCCCCCCCCCCCCCCCGAGGCTCCAGATGGGGGACCAGAATCTCCTCGAAGCCATACGAAAGTCTTGCTCCACGGTCTCACCGAACTCCTCCCATGCCCGGGTTTTTGTCTTGGCGAACACCCGAGCCGCGTTCCGCTTGGACTGCCGGTACCCGTCAGCTGCTTCTGGAGTCCCACAGGCCAAAAAGACCTGATAGGACTCTTTCTTCAGCTTGACATCATCCCTAACCGCCAGTGTCCACCAGCGGGTTCGGGGTTTGCCACCACGACAGGCACCGACGATCCTGCGACCACAGCTCCGGTCGGCCGCCTCGACAATGGAGGCATGGAACAGGGTCCATTCAGACTCAATGTCCCCCGCCTCCCCCGGAACATTTTGGAAGTTCTGTCGGAGGTGGGAATTGAAGCTCCATCTGACAGGATACTCTGCCAGACGTTCCCAGCAAACCCTCGCGATACGTTTGGACCTGCCTGGTCTAACCGGCCCGAGTGTCCAAGGCATGCGGCCGCAGGTCAGACGAAACAACAACGAAGTCCATCGTGCTGCGGCCTAAGGTATCCTGGTGCCAAGAGCACATATGGACACCTTTAGGTCTGAACATGGTGTTCATTATGGACAATCCATGACTGGCACAGAAGTCCAATAACAAAGCACCACTCGAATTCAGATCGGGGGGCCGTTCCTCCCAACCACACCTCTCCAGGTCTCACTGTCGTTGCCCATGTGAGCGTTAAAGTCCCCCAGCAGAACGAGGGAGTCACCAGAAGGAGTGCTTTCCAGCACCCCCTCCAAGGTCTCCAAAAAAGGTGGGTAGTCTGAACTGTAGATTGGTTCATAAGCACAGACCACAGTCAGAACCCGTCCCCCCACACGTAGGCGGAGAGAGGCTACCCTCTCATTCACTGAGGTAAACCCCAACGTACAGGCACCAAGATGGGGGGGCAACTAGTATGCCCACCCCTGCTCGGCGCCTCTCAGTGGGAGCAACTCCAGAGTGGTAGAAAGTCCAACCCCTCTCAAGGAAACTGGTTCCAGAGCCAGAGCCATGTGTTGAGGTGAGTCCAACTATATCTAGTCAGAACCTCTCAACTTCACACACCAACTCAGGCTCCTTCCCCACCAGAGAGGTGACATTCCATGTGTCAAGAGCTAGCTTTTGTAGCCGAGGATCAGACCGCCGAGGTCTCCGCCCTCGACTACCACCCGTCACACACTGCACCCGGCCCCTTTGGCCCCTCCCACGAGTGGTGAGCCCATGGGAAGGGGGACGCACATTTCCTCTTCGGCCTGTGCCCGGCCGGGCTCCATGGGTGAAAGCTCGGCCACCAGGCGCTCGCCAACGTGTACCACCTCCAGGCCTGGCTCCAGAGGGGGGCCCCGGTGACCCACGTCCGGGTGAGGGAACACGGTTTCCATTTATATAATTCATCATAAGAGGTCTTTGGCTGCTCTTTGTCTGATCCCTCACCTAGGACCTGTTTGCCATGGGTGACCCTACCAGAGGCAGAAAGCCTCAGACAACTTAGCTCCTAGGATCATTGAGACACTCAAACCCCTCCACCACAGTAAGGTGGCAGCCCAGGGATAGGATAAAGAAAACATAAGCAATAAAAAAATAGCATCAATTAAAACATATGAAGTCATCAATAAAGTTAGGCTGCTTTAGGCAAGGCGGCTTTATTCGTAAAGCACTTTTGACACACAGAAGTAATTCATTGTGCTTTCCAGGAGTAAGAGCAGCAAGAACATAACACATTAAAATCAAGAGGACAACATAAAAAGCAACATTTTTGAATCAAATTTAAATTAAAAAATAAAATTAGATGTAAGAATGAGATAAAAAGACAAAGTTAAAGGTTGAGCAGTTACAGTGCAGAAGGTGCAGCATGAGAACAGTCATTCACAGGCTGATGAATACATGAAAGTTTTCAATTTTGATTTAAGTTACTAGAGTTGGAGCACATCTGAGGTCCTGAGGAAGCTGATTCCATCTGTGAGCAGCATAGTAGCTAAAAGCAGCTTCACCCTGTTGGGTTCTGACCCAGTTCTACCAGCTGACTGCTTCCTAAGGATCTCAGAGCCCTGCTGGGCGTCTATACCTGAAGAAGATCCCACATGTATTCTGGCCATGAGTGATTTATAAACTAGTAGAAGCACTTTGAAATGGATTCTGTAGTTTACTGGTAACCAGTGTAGAGATCTAAGAACAGGAGTGATGTGCTCGGTTCTCTTGGTTCCTGTTAAGACTCTAGCAGCAGCGTTCTGATTACGCTGCAGTTGCTTCACAGCTTTTTTGGGAAGAACAGTGAAAAGACCGTTGCAATAGTCCAGCCTGCTGGAGATGAACGTGTGAATGAGTTTCTCTGTCTGGTCTGGACATGAGACCTCTGAGTCATGTGTTTTGGTTTCAGTTCTATAAACAGACGCTAGGGGGTGCTAAAAGCAAGCCAAAACTACCTAGTTTCCCTTTTAAAAACAGGACCTAGTTTTTTTTATATACGTGGTTCCAGAGCCGCAGGCTGCAGACCCCGGAGCTCAGGTTGTAACAACAGAGGTGATGCTACAGGATTGATTATAATAATAATAATAATACATTTTATTTCAAAGCGCCTTTCAGGACACCCAAGGTCACTTTACAGAAAACACGTGATAAAATACAATAAAACAATAATAAAACCCAAACCAGAAAACACAAAGAGAGAAACAGTTCAATAAAATCAGAGGTTGTAGGCAGATTTAAACATATGTGTTTTGAGTTTTGTTTTGAAAAGGGTAAAACTGTCAATGTTCCTGATGTCTGGGGGAAGTGAGTTCCAGAGACAGGGAGCAGAGCGGCTGAAAGCTCTGCTCCCCATGGTAGCGAGACGGGCAGAAGGAACCGCAAGATGGATGGAAGAAGAAGATCTGAGTGAACGGGATGGGGTGTGAATACTTATAAGGTCTGAGATATATGGAGGAGAGAGGTTGTGGATAGCTTTGAAGGTCTGGAGGAGAATTTTGAAGATGGACCTGAATTTAACTGGGAGCCAGTGAAGCTGCTGGAGAACCGGGGTGATGTGGTGGAAGGAAGGGGTTCTGGTGATAATACGGGCTGCTGAATTCTGGACCATTTGAAGTTTATGAAGGAGTTTGTTGGGGAGACCATAAAGAAGTGAATTGCAATAATCGATACGGGAGGTGACGAGGCTGTGGACGAGAATGGCGGCAGTGTGAGGGGTCAGTGAGGGGCGGAGACGGTTTATGGAACCTAGATGGAAGTATGCTGACCGAATTATGTTATTAATGTGAGCTTGAAAAGAAAGTGAGCTGTCAAGAATGACACCCAGACTCTTGACGTGAGGGGAGGGGGAGACTATGGCGTTGTCAATTGTTAAAGAAAAGCTGTCAGATGTAGAGAGGGTGGATTTAGTGCCAACTAGAAGAATTAAGTATAATTAACCCTCTCATCCTATCTGTGTGATTTGTCTAGAAGAAGCACTCCGACCCTCCTGTCTCCCTTCACGGTCAGTTACTCTGGAGAGAGTTCTTCTACACGGCCAGTGTGGGAATTCCCAATTTTAACAAGATGGAGGGCAACCCTGTGTGCACACAGGTGGACTGGGACACAAATCCGGAATATTTGGCAGCATGGAGAGAGGTGCTGAGCTTGAAATCCTTTTCTCCTCTTAATAATCCCCCCTGATGGTGCGTATTTCCTTGCTAATGTTTCTTTTTTCCTTCAAGGCTCGGACCGGATTTCCCTTCATTGATGCCATCATGACCCAGCTCAGAACAGAGGGCTGGATGCACCACCTGGCCAGGCACGCTGTTGCTTGTTTCCTCACCAGGGGAGACCTGTGGATCAGCTGGGAAGAAGGCCAGAAGGTGTGTGACGCTAGCTTGCGTGCTTCAGTACAGATGCAGTCCTGGCAGGTTGGTTCAGGTTGTTTCCTCCTCCTGAAGGTGTTTGAGGCGCTCCTGCTGGATGGAGACTGGGCTCTGAACGCTGGGAACTGGCAGTGGCTGTCAGCGAGCACCTTCTTCCACCAGTTCTTCAGGGTCTACTCTCCGGTCGCCTTCGGCAAAAAGACGGACAAAAATGGAGACTACATCAAGTAAAATCCCAGCCCGGTTCAACCCAGAGTAAAAAAAAACATTTCATATGTAATAATTTACTGTTTTCATGCAGAAAATACCTCCCTGTATTAAAGAAGTTCCCAGCTGAGTACATCTATGAGCCTTGGAAAGCTCCACGCTGTGTCCAGCAGGCAGCAGGATGCATTGTGGGTAAAGACTACCCACGCCCACTTGTGAAGCATGAAGAGGTCAGCAAGAGAAACATCCAGAGGATGAAGCGAGCGTATGCACAGAGGTCTTCCAACGTCCCTGAGTCACCCGCCAAAAAGCAAGGTGCAGCTTAGAGTATTTTACAGATTTCATCATCGCTGTTGTGAGTCATGTGTTCAGCTTTTTCTTCTTCTTTGGTTTTATTTTAGGTGTAAAGCGCAAGAATCCGTCTGTTCTTGAGATGCTGCAGAAGAAGATTAGAAAAGAGTGATGACACACAAGTTAGTGCAAAACGCCGAAGTTAATTACTGTCATCGGCGAATGTTACGGTTTTAATCCAAGTTCTGTTCAGTCGTTGTTTCATGTAGATTATTATCAGTTTTTATTTGTTTTTATTTGTTTTAAACACGCGAAAGGGAGCTGGGATCAGTGGCTTAAACGGGTCGAATACGTCTGGGTTTTATGTTTGCGTTTATGATTGCAGACTAAAGTAGGTCAATAATGATGTCCTATCCTAAAGTTTTCAAAGGAAATTGAAATCATCATCAGGCCCCAGTTTGATCCCACTTATTTATTTATTTAATAAAAATGAGTTTTATCACTTAGACTGCTAAACCAGACATTCATAGATGAAACGTTGGGGTTAATGTTAAGAAAGTAGCACAGATTTGTTTCTCCTTAGCCTGTTTCCACTCAGGCTTTTGTATTTAATAAAATCAGTTATGCAAAACCCTGAAAGACGATCCTTTATGTCCTTAAACACACGTGCTTTAAGTGTCGAGTTATTTTAGCTTCCACTAGAGGTCGCTGTAGCTCTGGTCTCTGCTGCTCTGGAGTTTTCGGTTTAAAGTAAATCAAACATATTTACAAAAGTCCAGTTTAGAATTGTTTTCGTACAAAACTAAACATTAATTTATTTAAAAAATTCAAATTATTCAATATTTTTGATCACAAACTTGTATTTTTAGCTTATTTCTCCCCCACAGAAGGCCGTTTCAGCTGTGTGTGTGTGTGTGTGTGTGTGTGTGTGTGTGTGTGTGTGTGTGTGTGTGTGTGTGTAGGGGAGGTCACACAGCTGTTCATGTTGGTCAAGTGTTCTCCCATTTCTGCTTCCTCGGAGCTGACACTGGTGTGAATATCAAGAGGATGATGTCACATCATTCTCATCATCGGCGGGCAGACGGCTGTACGGAGCTTGAACTCGGTCTCCCGGGAGATCAAACATCAAAACAACCTGCTGCCTCAAATGCACGCAGGAGTGCAATAATCTCATTCCAGTTATTATTATTTGACATATTTAGAGTCACCAGTGAACACTTTCTGGATATAATGCAGAGTTTTCTGATCCCGTAGAGGTGACCTGCTGGACGTGTCTCTGCTGTGTGTCAACACCTCACAACTCAGACCATCTTGGATCAGCACGAGATCGCGTCCGAGTTAGGACGGTGTGTTCTCATGCAGCGGGGGTTTCATGTAGACGAGCTTTATCGTGGCAGTGCGTTTAAACTTTCACATAAAAACAACTGATTCCTCCCTTAGTGTGATCTAATGATCAAGCTACTGATGCACAAACTAACTTATAAATATCTAACCTGCTCGATAAGTGCTGTTTTCTCTCTCTCTCTCTCTCTCTCTCTCTCTCTCTCTCTCTCTCTCTCTCTCTCTCTCTCTCTCTCATGACATGAGAATCCAGGGTGAGAGCTGGGTCAAAGGTCACACCAAGATTCCTAACAGAAGGTTTGGTGTGAGAAGCAAGCTGACCAAGAGAGTCTCTGACTTTGGGAACCAGCTTGTCTGGGGCACAGATGAGGATCTCAGTCTTATCTTCATTCAGCTGAAGAAAGCTCCCAGCCATCCAGGTTTTGATAGAGTCTAAGCAGGTGTGTAACAGCTGCAGCTTAGACATCTCATGGGGCTTAAAGGAGATGTACAGTTGGACGTCATCTGCATAAAGATGGTAGGAGATTCCTTTGAAGGAGCTCAGGATGTGCTGAAGAGGAAGCAGATAGAGGACTAAGCTACACCAGAAAATGATACATAAATGCAGCATGAAGCAAGGCTAAAGTTGTATTCTGACTAGCAGATTTATTACAACAGGAGTCTTGCTGACGAGACTTTGGTCCAGTTTTAGATTTTCCTCGAGTCTTCCTAGAAAAAACGGATCAGCGAGATGTTTTCTTGTGGTTCTACACTTTTGCCTCTCTAACTTTAAATAAACTAACATAAAATAACATCATGGATGTCCAAATGAAGTCATGTGACTGAGTTTCTCATCTTTATTTTGCAGCCTGAAAGGATTTAAGTTCTCTGCACACTCACACACACATACACACAGACGTAGCTTATACACATGCACACACATAGCGTGCACACACACACACACACAGATAGCTTGCACATAAGCACGCACACTTGTAGCGTGCATGCGCGCACACACACACAGCTTACATGCACACAGACGTAGCTCATGCACGCACGTAAGCACACACAATGCTTGCATGCACACAAACACACGTATAGCATGCATGCATGCATGTGCACAAAAGCACTCCACACACACACACACACACACAGCTTACATGCACACAGACGTAGTTCATGCACGCACGTAAGCACACACAATGCTTGCATGCACACAAACACACGTATAGCATGCATGCATGCATGTGCACAAAAGCACTCCACACACACACACACAGCTTACATGCACACAGACGTAGCTCATGCACGCACGTAAGCACACACAATGCTTGCATGCACACAAACACACGTATAGCATGCATGCATGCATGTGCACAAAAGCACTCCACACACACACACACACAGAGAGAGCACATACACACATGCACAAAAGCACTCCACACACACACACACAGCGAGCACATATGCACATGCACACAAGCACTCCACACATGCACACACACAGTAGGAGACAGCAGTAGCTCAGGAGGTAGAGCGGGTTATCCAGTAATTGAAAGGTTGCAGGCTCGATCCCAGGTCCGAATGCTGCTGTTGTTTCCTTGGGCAAGACACTTACCTTGTCTGCTGGTGGTCGGAGGGACCCATGGCACCTGTGTTTGGCAGGCCTCACCTCTGCCAGTGCGCCCCAGGGCAGCTGCGGCTACATCGTAGCTCATCATCATTAGCGTGTGCATGGGTGAATGACTGATTGTGTTGTGACGCGCCTCGGGGGGTTGTAGAACCTTAAGAAGATGCTATACAAACACAGGCCAGCTACCATTTACACACACACACACACACACACACACACACATGGTATGGCTCTTTAGATCATCTCACATAGACAACCCCTCTTAAATATGCATATTTAATTAAATGATGACTCATAGTCTGCTTTAATGCTGCGACAGCTTCGCACCAAAAGTCAGGACATTTATGTTTGCTGATGATTATTTGGGGTAAAATGATGCTTCTTGGTAATAAAATTTGCATCCGTGGAAAGTCGATCAGTCACTCCTGACGACCGCTGATGTTTGCAGAACCAGAAATGGATGCTTCTTTGTTTCTGGTTGTAAAGGTGACTCATTGGGTTTTATAGCCATTTACTGTAGGATTGTTGAAATGTTCGTTCAAAGAGATAAACAAAAGTGTAGTTTTTCTTTGAAACCTTAATTTACATTTAATCCTTTAACCTGCAGATCAGCCACCAAGTTCAGCTACTTTTAGTTCCCTTTGACTCAAAGTAAAGAAAAACTTTTCAGACATCTAATGCATGTGAATGCTTGTACTGAATTGTATTATTTAATGGCAAAATCATTCTTATTATTTAAATAACTTATCACACATTGAAATAAATGTCTTATTGCCACAAGTTATTTAAAACCTGTAAAAAGATCAAAAATAAAATATGATTGTTTTTCATTAAAGTGTGAGTCTCGGTGGTTAAAATGATTTTCTAGCGCGCCTCTCTGGAGGGGAAGTGGAAGGTGTGGGAGTTACAGCAGGGTGGTGTGTGGAGGGAACAAATGCTTTTAAATAGCAGAAAGGAGTGTGAAACACGACGAGCCTAATCGGACGGATATCTTTGAACCCGATAGGCACAGCCGTCTTCTGAAGCTGTAACTCGTGGCTGTCTGAGTGCCAGACGATCATCTGCAGAAGCTTGTTTACTACCGAGGATGGAAGTAAATAAAGAAAACATCCTTCTGATAAAAACCTTCAACCCAATCATTCAAGTTAGTTTCATCCACATTTAATAAAAATAAAACATTATCGGTGTTTACAGATCTATTAACACAAGCTGCTAGTCAGTGGTGTGCGTGTCTGTGTACAAGAATGTGTGTGTGTGTGTGTGTGTGTGTGTGTGTGTGTGTGTGTGTGTGTGTGTGTGCAAGAATGTGTGTGTGCGTACAAGAATGTGTGTGTGTGTGTGTGTGTACAAGAATGTGTAGCTCAGTTTAAAGCAGCTTCTGCAGAAGCTCTCTGGGGTCATGACCTCTGACCTTTATCTGTTTGTTCCAAACAGTATAAAATTCTGTCAGAAACAGAGAAGTCTCCAGGGGGCAAATGTAAACTGTTAGAATCAGAGTTGTACTGGACTGGCACCAGCTGTGTGTGTGTGTGTGTGTGTGTGTGTGTGTGTGTGTGCGTGTGTGTGTGTGTGCGTGTGTGTGTGTGTGTGCGTGCGTGCGTGCATGTGTGTGTGTGTACAAGAATGTGTGTATATGTGTGTAAAAGAATGTGTGTGTGTGTGTGTGTATGTGTGCATGTGTGTGTGTGCGTGTACAAGAATGTGTAGCTCAGTTTAAAGCAGCTTCTGCAGAAGCGCTCTGAGGTCATGACCTCTGACCTTTATCATGTCTTTATCTTTTTGTTCCAAACAGAATAAAATTCTGTCAGAAACAGTATAAAAGAGTGTGTGTGTGTGCGTGTGTGTGTGTGTGCGCGCACGCGTGTGTGTGTGTGCGTGCGTGTGTGTGTGTGTGTGCGTGTGTGTGTGTGTGTGTGTGTGTGTGTGCATGCCTGTATGGAGATAAAAGCACATAGCTGTTTGGCAGCCGGTGACATCGGTCTATATAAGGCTGTTCTATTCCCACCGTGTTTCCTCTGGAGACCCAAAGGCGATTGTCAGCAACGGGACAATGCATGCCTCAGAGCACAGTGGCTTCCCTCCTTTATCATTTACATTTATTCTAAATTTGTTTGAAACCTTGAAGATACAAACTGTATAAATCTGCTTCTTTGTTTATTTTTGGTGCTCCAACAACCAGAAAGACAGTTTGTGGAGGTGACTGGTTAAAAATCCTAATTTAATCAGAGATTATTTAAAAGCTCATGGGATCGTTTCTTTGTTCAGACTCAAAAAGTCTGAAAAGAGCTAAACGTTTGATTCCAGATTCACCAGCAGATAAAACATATTTAGCATGCTTTAAAAATGTCTCCTCTTATTTATGAAAACAGCTCTTCTCTTTTCTTTTTGCAGCATAATCTTTGATCTTTATTTTTTTTAAGTAAGTACGTTTTTGGAAAGCGTGATCAGCTCTTGTTCCTTTTCTGCAAGCCGACTTAAAATAGCGCCGAAGCCCACACATGCTCATGTCTGATGGGGAATCTCAGCGTCTTGAGTCAGTGCTGTGGGGGAATCTGTCTGAGGAGGGAATGACTCGTCTGAACGGTGAGTTAAAAGTACGATATGCAGATATGCTCAGCGTAAACACACAGCTACTTAACTAAAACATCTCGTGTGTATATATGTGTTTTAATTGTCAAACTGCGGGAATGTTTCAGTTGTGTTTACTTAAAAAAAATCATTTCACTTTTGAGAATCCATCAGTTTCTGTTCACTTTTTGTTTTCTGGTCATTTTAGAATGTCAGCGAAGCTCAAAGGTAAGAGAATTAACTCCCTAAACTTTCATCTGAGAGCTTTTTCTGGACAACATTCCTTTTTTCATGAGAAATGGGTTCACGAAGAAATGGAAGGTCCAGCAACGGGAATGATGGGAGTGGGATCGGCCGGTCCGGTAGCTGCAGCTACATCTCCAACGTGAGACCAGAGAACAGGTAAAACTCGAAAGTCGGGCCAACTTCCTGCCTACAATACAGTCAGATTAAAAAGTGCTCCTAATCTGTGACTAACACCTGTTTGACTTTGAGTGAGTGTTGTGGTCGCCCTGGTCTCAGATCAGCTGCAGCTCACAAACAGCTTTTCCAGGACCAAAAATAAGTGTCATGAAGCAAGTTCTGTCCTTAAGTGTATTTCCTTTTAACAGCTGATTAACTCTCATGTGAAAACGAGTTCACATCAGGGCACAGCTCAGTTTGGTCTCCGAGAACTTATTTCTGTCAGCCTTACATCACGGTGCAGCTGCTTGTGCGCTTTGCTGTCCAAACCTCCGGTGTATCATCAAAATATGAAACAAATTAGCATTCTGTACCTCGTTTTGGCCGCCAGGACGACGCTCAGCTGTTTTCTCCAGCAGACAAAACGTTACCTTTGCTGCTTCTGGATCAATACTTGATAACATTTTGCTGCAGAAGCGGCTAGTTTCATTATGAATCATTGTTCTGTACTGTGTGTCACGATGCAAGTCTGGAGGAGGTTTGGACACCCAGAATGACATGAGGCAGGAGTGGATGTAAATGAAAACATTCCTTTATTAGTAAGGAGAACAAAAAATTCCAAAAGGGGCAGGAAGCCAAAAACCTATGTCCTGAAACCCTGGAGAACGAAGGCTCACTTAGAGCACGAAACCTAGATACCTAGTGACGAGGAACAGAACAACGCTGACACAGAACAATGGACCGACAAAACACTGAGGCACAGACAGGGTTTTAAACACTGGAGAGGATGAGAGGGAGATGAGCTGCAGGTGTGTGGGGAGAGAGAGGCCAGGTGAACTCAATTACTAATCAGGGAGGAAACTAACATGACCTAAGAATAACACCTAAAGACAAGAGCAGGAAACATAACTAATAATCTAAGGGGGAAGAAAAAAAACCTCAAACACCGGTGGGAAAAACACACTAAAGAGACTAATAACATGAAAAGCTGTAGCTAAAGGAAAATGACCTAAGAGAAAAACCTAAAGACCAGAAGGGCAGCAAACATAACTAATATTCTAAGGGGGGAGCTGAAACTAAAGGAAAAACACTACAGAAAGAAAAACTACAGGGGCATGACTAAAGGGGGCCACGGGAGCACAGGGCCTGGGAGGGGGATACCTGAGGAGGGAAACCTAGAGGGCTGAAGATCTGGGGAAAAATGGAGAACACCAGAAGGCACATGAGGAAGACGCAGACAAGGACACATGAGGGCGCTAGGAGACACAAAAGGAGAACCTAGAGAGGGATGGAGAACAACAAGAGACACATGGGGGGGGGTGGAGTACATCCCAGCTGTCAATGGGAAAGACACGGGGGAAACCCCGGAATATGTCTCACCTAGAATCACCAGCTAATGCACAGTTTTGGAGTGTGAGGGGAAATCAGCACAAGGAGAACGTGCATTCTCCAAAAAAAGATGCTTGTTGTTCAGCAGAGCATTCGAGCTACATGCATACAAGCAAAAAGTCCCTAATGTCTTTACAATGCATAAAGTTACACAATATAAAAGTTCACTTCTTCTCAAAAGGGGTCATATTATGCTAACCTTGCCTTTAGCATCTTTTTGTGCTGCCATGTGGGTCTCTACTGCCTCTATAAACGCTCCAAACGGGACTAGAACCAACAATCCGTTTTCTATCAGTGTTTGGTTTCGGGAGTGAACCCCCAAAAGCCCGGGGATCTCGTTTCTCAACACTTCTTTTAGTAGACTCCCAACTGTTCCCCAATAGCGTAGCCTCCATTGTTGCTAATGTTGCTAATGCTACTCTAAAATGCACTCATCACTAGTGCATCATGTCACTTCCTGGGTGTATTTTCATTGGTCGATTGCAGACTGGAGTCATGGGGTTTCTGACTCTGCTTGAAGACTTTTGGAGGCTGAATTTGGTCGCGAGAGTGCTCAATAGCTGTCGCTGAACCGGTCACGCTGGATGACCACAGACCTGCGAATCACCCTCACGTGTTCTGTCATGATTCTGCTCATGAAAAGAGGTTAGTGTAGGATGGCCGATAAATGCACAGCGTGTGACCCGGATCTAAAACCAGTTGTTTAAAAAAAAGTCATGTCCCAAAAAGGGTAAAGTAGAATAGAACCACCTTTCACCTGTCGACGCTAGAGTAGCAGCAGCTTTACTCCAAGCCCCTTACAGAAACCAGAGCGTCTCAGCCAATAGCAGCCTGAGCGGAGGATGGGTGGGCGTGGCCTGCAATAGCTTGTTTTCTTAATGTGAACCTAGCCCTGAAACAGCTCATTCTGGAAGGTACTGAAACTGTCTAGAATAAAACTTCACAAATTACTTCTTGCGAGAGGGATTTTAAGAACTTCACAAACGAGTTTTAGAGAGATTCATAATCTGCCCTGTCAAAGTTGGTGTTTTACATTATTTTAACTGACAAATCCTCAAAAACAATGCAGCACATCAATTTCAAAGTTTCATTAAAAAAACTTGTAGCTTTTTGGGTAAACGATGGTGAAGTCACAGCTGTGACTTTAGAGTTTGGGTTTTGCAGAAATGTCAGAAAGGGTTATGGCACCTTTAAAACTTTGGAAATTGATGCAACAGTCCAGCCATTATTTAGGTTAACGTGACATTTTTATACATGTGATAATTACAGCCCTTTTTCCTCCTCAGGAGCACGCTCTGCAGCGTGATGGCACTGCTAACAGCAGAAACTCAGCCCTGCTTTGAGACCACACTGAAGTCAAAGGCTGTGTCCGAAAACTGCACCGTGAAGTTCTCCTGCGTGGTTACAGGTAAACGCCGACTCAGGTGTTCCTGCTGTAAGCAAACGCAGAATAGCTGCAAGAGCACATGCATGAGCACTTTAACTTCCTCGCTCCAAAACAGGAAAGAAATGTTTACTTTCTGAGTTTTGTATTTGTTTGAGGCTAAATTGGATCACGTGAAAATAACATGAACATAAATATAGTGATTAAAATGTTCTATATCAAGTGGTTGACCTGCAGTCAAAGAGTTAAAACACATTTATTCATTTACATCATTCTGTTTTTTTTTAAACGTCTCTTGTTGACAGGATACCCCGCCCCTCAAGTAACGTGGTATAAGGATGACGAACAGCTGGACAGACTCTGTGGGCTGCCTAAATATGAAATATTCTGTAAAGGACAAAATCATTCCCTGCATATATACAAGTACACATGTTTGAGATACCTTTAAAGCATCATCATGTCTTCATGTCTCTATAGAAATACAGCAGAAGTCGTGTTGAATCTGGGTAGAAATTCTGATGATCAGCTTTTAGAAAAGAAAATGATGTTTATCAGGCTGTTTTCAACAGTAATCCAGTAGAAAATGTAGTTGTGTATATGATATTGTATATTAGCCTTGTTCCCATTTCTTTCTTTATTTCTTTCTTTCTTTATTTATTTCTAACTTTCTTTCTTTCATTCTAACTTTCTTTCTTTCTTTCTAACTTTCCTTCTTTCTAACTTTCTTTCATTCTAACTTTCTTTCTTTCTTTCTTTCTTTCTAACTTTCTTTCTTTCATTCTAACTTTCTTTCTTTCTTTCTTTCTAACTTTCTTTCTTTCTTTCTAACTTTCCTTCTTTCTAACTTTCTTTCATTCTAACTTTCTTTCTTTCTTT